TCCCATCTCACACCCAGATTTCAGCCCTTGGTGTCCAGATTTGTTACAGAACTCTAGAAAGCTCTGGGAAGCTGCTATAACAGCTTGATTGCCTTTGGTCCAGTTTGCATTTAAATCGGAGATTTTCTTAAAAGGTGGGGTGGTAGGAAGTATAGCTGACTGTGCTGTTTTACTCCGGAACATTGGAGTCTCGATATCTGGTAAGAATTTGCGTCACAGGTAAGTTCTAGGACTGCGAGACAAAATACCTTGGCACAAAAGGTAATTCTGAGTAGTTAACATCCCTGCTGTGGCCTTGATTTCCACAGCAGAGAACCGTGATTCGGTCTCTGGCTGCTTCCTGGACTGTCTCGGGGAGATCTCTATCCTTGGGTCTCAGGTCACGTGCACAATCTTCTGGCCACTCCGAGACACAGGCCTGGGCCCTGGCCAGGTGCTGGGTGAGGATGGGGCCTCTGTGCCTACTCTCCCATCTCAGCTCTGCTACGACGTTCTTTGGTGCCTGAAACAAAACACTCAATCTCCCTGCACTTTATTTACTAGTGTCTAAACGTTGAAAGAATAATATACTGATTTCAGCATTTGTTCATCTCTTGGTAGGTTACTGGCAGTAAAGATAAAGTTCCAGACTGGCTTCCCTGCTTCTCAGAAGGTTTCTGGGCCACTTTCCCCAGCTGCCTAACCAGAAGTGTTTGAGAATCACAAACAAATGTTACCATCAGCCTTAGCAAAACCATGCTAAGTTATGCCGCTTCAAAACAGACGCAGCACTTAACCTCTTACCCATGACCTACATTCAACAAATTGCTGCTTTCTTTCCTTGGCTTTATGTTAAACTTCACTTCAATCAAATGTGAATTTACCCCAAAGAGAGAATCGCTTTGCGCAAAGATCCACAGTGAGATAGACTAAAACGGAAAGCATGCCAAGGGCGTTTAAACCCTCGTGTTTTCACTAGAATAAAGTGGGTCCACACGCCCCTCTTCAGAAAGAGAGCTTATGCCTAAGGCGAGATGTAGGGACACACGCCAGGCCGGTGGCTGTTTCTTCCAGCTCAGAGCTCTCCTCTTTAAAATGCCTTTTCTCACTGCCACAACTGGAGGGAACGCCTCCCCTCCCCTGGCCCTCTGCAGCACGCTGGGACACTACCCACTATTCTTTGTATACTCGTTCGCGTGGGCTGCCATTATAAAGTGCCACAGACAGAGTGGCTAAAACAACAGCAATTTATTAAATCACAGTTCTGGAAGCTGAAGGCTCAGGAACGAGGCGGTAGCAGGGTTGGCGTCTCCTGGGCCCCTCTCTGTGGCCTGCGAGGGCCTCTTCCGTGTCCTCAGATGGCCTTTCCCCTGCACGTGCGCGGGCCTGTGGCTCTGCGCCTTCCTATACAGTCGTATTGGAATAGGGCCCCAATCTAAAGGCCTTGCTTTAACTTAATCGCCTTCAAAGACCTTATCTCTAAATGCGGTTCCGTGCTGAGGTGCTGGGGGCCAGAATCCCAACTTGAACTGAGGGACACAGGAGGATGAGGACACATCTGGGCTCACAACACCTTGCCGTGCACTTTAGAATAGCGCCCATTCCCAAGTGTCCTTCCCCTACTCGAATGGAATCGCCCTGGGTGAAAAGCTGGTTTTAAGATTCGGCATTCCAGGCAATCCACCGATTGATATTCATGGTCATGACTGGCATTTTGCTTGCATTTGTCTTAAACATGTTCCGAGGGAAATAAATAATCAGCCACGGTGGCTTCATGGTGGGGACTGGGCTAGACGGTTTCAAGGTTTCTCACAAATCGGCCTGTTGATTCCCCATTCCCATCCACTGTGAAATTCTCCCTCTCAAGGGAGTTTCAGCCATTTGTGTAATTTCTACATGAAGGCCTCCTAGGAGAGGTCAGTCCTAACTTTAAAATTCCCAGATCAAAGAGCAAAGACTTGGGACCAACCCAAATGCCCATCAGTGAGAGACTGGACAAAGAAAATGTGGCACATTTACACTACGGAATACTATGCAGCTACAAAAAAGAATGAGTTCATGTCCTTTGCAGGGACATGGATGAAGCTGGAAGCCATCATTCTCAGCAAACTAACACAGGACAGAGAATCAAACACCACACGTTCTCACTCATACGTGGGAGTTGAACAATGAGAACACATGGACACAGGGAGGGGAGCATCACACACTGGGGCCTGTCAGGGGTTGGGGGCTGGGAGAGGTAGAGCATTAGGACCCTTACCGAATGCATGCGGGTCTTAAAACCTAGATGACGGGTTGATGGGTACAGCAAACCACCATGGCACGTGTATGGCTACATAACAAACCTGCACATTCTGCACATCTATCCCAGAACTTCAAGTAAAATAAAATAAAATTCCCCATGCATTGCCTAGTTCTATATCTGCGTCCAGCAGCACCTGAAATCTCGGCTTGATACAGCCCCGGCAGTTCATCTCATTTCATTTTGCCTGAAGTCTCCAAGCAAGTTCTCCCAGCTCAAAGGCCAGCATTCTTTCCAACAACTCATCACTCCTCGTTACGCAAGGGGAAGAACACCAAGGGCCTTCTGTCTTATGAGCAATAATTCAGGTAATGAAGTGAGAGCATAGCCTCTCTTATGAATTCTGAGGAACCCTAAAACAGCCTATCTTTTGGTACCAAAAAGATCTAGCATAGCAATTTTGTTGGTTTATAAAACACTCAAATGCTCAAACCATATGTTTAGATACAATTCCCAATGGCTAGATCCTTCTTTATATAAATAAAAGAGGAGGTTTTTCAGTATCAGGTGGAAAAATAAGTATGGGTATTGGGGAAAATAGTCTAAATTTAACTCTGAGTCAGCTCCAAGACAGCAGAGATAGCACCAGCTTCACAGCCCGGCATCTCCCAGCCTGGGAATCCTGCTTCAAGTCTGTAAGCCTGCCCAATGGGTACAGGACAAATCATACCCAAGGACCCCAAGGACATTTTTACATAAACATGAGCCTGGTTAGATACCTCCCATGTGCAGTGTAGCTTCTAAGAAAGTAGAAGAAGCCAACATACAGACCAAGCCGACTTTCACATCAGTGAACACATTTGGCCATCTGAAAATACAGAGAATTAACACACAGAGAGACCTGTGGAGACCTGTGGCTTCTTCGGGCCAGCCTCAGTTTGAAAGCGAGGGTGAGAGCTTTGCCAGATACTCACGGGACCTGTGCTGCCCCTAATGGAAGAGACTCTTCTCTCAGGACAAGCCAAGGGGAAGCACCCACAGCCTGAAACGAAGGTGTGTCTGAGCATGACGGAGGCTGTGTGCAGATGGTCCCTTGTGTCAATATCAGGAGTGTGGGTCTCACAAACAAAAGGCTTAGTGTCTCTGTGGAATCTCTAATGGTCCTTTGACTTACTGGAGTCCTTTCTAAAATGGATTTTGTTCATTTTCCACTGAGATTGCAGAAGCTGCACGTGGCGTGGCAGTTTATGAATTGGGTCCCCCAGCGAGGCTCTGAAAGACAGCTGGAGTGGGGGTGGGCTGTGTGTGTGAAGCCGCTGCGCGGAGCTGGAGTCCACCATGCACACAATCGCATCTATGTGTGACCCAGCAGCCTGCAAACCGCTTCCCTGCAAAGGAAGAGGCGTGCCAAGTGAGGCGAGAGACTTTTGTTAATTCTGTGTGTCTTAGAGACTGTTGTTTTTTTTTTTTTTTTTTTTTTTTTTTGTCTGTTGGGAAATAAAAAACAAATACATAACTTCCTTGCTGGTGTGCCATCTGAATTTTTTTTCTCTCTCTCATGCCTTCACTTTAATTTCTCCAGAGTATCTCTTCTCTTCAATTTGGGGCATCGGTTTACGGCATTTTTACATACACGTGTATATAGTGTCTATGCACAGAGTCAGAGATGTAAATGTGTGTTTCAGGTTCCTTCAGCTTTAGCGCTCTGTGGAGATCCGTAAGGAGATATCAGAGATCTCATTCTCTTTGTTAACATAATGGGTAGAGCTTTCCCCGTGCTCAGAGCACGGAGCTGAGTCTCGCATAGCCAGCAATAACAGTGCCTTCTTAAGAGCCTCCCTGGATAGTTTGCTAAATTCCTTCTAAGAGCCTCTCGCTGCCCTTACAAAGGTTAGCTGAAAAACAAACCAGAAACTGGGAATCCATCTCTGTGAGCAGGCAGAAGGCTGCACATTGTGCGGCAGATAGAGGCTCAGGTTCATGGAGTCACGTTTGGGGTTCTGGCCATTCCAGCTGAAGGCTGGCCTTAGGAAAACCAGCCATCCCAGGCCCAGGCAGTCGGGGTTGGCTGGGGTTTATTTGTTTTGCTGAGTTTTTGTTGGTTGGTCTTTCACAGATGCTGCAAATCATACATGGGACCCTGAACTACACAGTTTTTGTTTCTTCTCCGTATCATTTTACCTGGCCAAAAAAGGCAAAAGAAGGCGATGGTGGCATTGCTAAGGAACAGGGAAGGAGATGGCCTGAAAATCCCCTCCTTCCGCAAGTAACGCAGGAGCACTACTCCCCTCTGAGGACCCAAAGGTAGCTTCACAGTCTAACACACCGAAAAACAAGCCCACGGGACTCCAGGACAACATGACCTCAAAGCAAAGGGACAGAAGGAACTTGGGACAGATGCATGAAGATCTGTTGATTTCGCAAACTTGAACTTAGAAAATAGGGAGTTTGTTAGAATTTCTCTTTCTAAAATAAACAATTTCTCTTTCTAAAATAAATATTTTAATATCATCAAATATCATCTATTTCTGTCGTCCTCTGTCCTCCACACTGAGAACCCAAGACAGGTCCTTGGGATGACTTTTGGGGACCAATATCACCGCGAAAACAAACGTCTTCTCAGCCAAGAACACAGATTTCCTATCTACCTTTGACGTCCCGAAGGACTAGAGAACCCAGAGCATTTCCATAAGACTCTGATGCCGGGAGCTCCCTGCTCCCTGCTCCCTGCTGGACTCCGGCCGTCCCCTCCCTGCCCAGAAGAGGACATGGTACTCACCAGTCATTAGGGTATAGTAATTGGGATATGAGAGACTAGGGAAGTCTGGGGTCAAGTAATCCACTTTTGCTCCTCTGCTCACGATCTCTCTGAAACCAGGCAAGGACTCCAGTGCCTCATCACTGATGTAGTCTGAGCGAAAACCATCCAGCAGAAACACCAGCAGCTTCCGGCGGGCAGAGGCCGGCCAGGCCAGGCCCAGCACGAGGACCAGCAGGAGGGTCCCAAGCTTCACTGCCATGCTGCCAGGAGCCTGCCTGCCAGAAGCCTGCCAGAGCCCGGCTGGCACAGCCGTCGCCTTGCAGAGGCTGAGGATGGAGAATCTGTAGCTATTCTCTCTTCCAGGGGCTGGACCTTGAGCCGCTGGCCTTCCTGAGCCAAGTTCACTTTCAGAATTTAAAGGAACAGCACCCCCTTTTCCACACATCGATACACACCCTTTACTAGAAAGTACAGAGACCGACTCCTTCAGATAAGCCAGGTTCCCAAACAACCCAGAATTAACACCAGGGGAGAGAGTTCAACCTTATTATTTTTGGTGAATGTTCCAGAAATACAAGCACCCACAGAGATGGAATTTTAGAAGATGACAAAGTCAACACTCACTTTGCAGTTGGGCTAACCAAAGGGAGGAACCAAGGAAAAGAGCCCAATTTTAATTTGATGTTATCCCCCATCGTGGCCTCATTTAAACTCTTTTTCACTTGTAATTCAGTAACGCAAACCTCTGGACTCAGGGCATAAACGGGAGACAAAACGTTCCGGTGGGCCTGTTTGTAAATTTCCCAGCCATGTTTCCATAGTCATAGCCCTTAAAAACAATTATTTGTCTGTGTCTTGGCTGCTTATTTTTTTTATATGCAGTGTTATTTTATTTTTCAAATATGATTTAGCTGCTGGTGCTCATAGGAGGAGATGCTTTGTAGAAGAGCTGTAGAGCCAAGGAGAAGCCTCCAGAGTTGGACAACGGGAACTCGTTGCTGGCAGAATGGCCTGAAGCAGCTTTGCCCCAAGAGGATGGAAATGAACTAGAGAGCTGGAGGACCAGAGCTTGAGATGGAAAAGCAGAGCGAGCAACAAGCACGCAGGCTTCAGGACAGGGAGGACAGGCCGGGGTGGGAAGCAGGAGGAGGTCAGTGATGGGAAGCAGACGTGAGCTGGGCAGCAGACAGACTTAGGAAAGTCCCCAGACTCTGGGGGTTCCCTAGAGCGGCTCTGTCATGTTACAGAAAATTAAATGACACAATGTATGTAAAGGCTTGTCAAACACAGCTGAGTGCGGTGGCCCACTTTGGGAAGCCAAGGTAGGCGTTTTGCTTAGCGCCAGGAGGTTGAGACCAGGCTGGGCAACATAGCAAGACCCTGTCTTTAAAAAAATTTATTTTATTAGCTGGTCATAGTGGCATGTGCCTGGTCCCAGCTACATAGGAGGCTGAGGTGGGAGGATTATGTGAACACAGGAGTTCAAGTCTGCAGTAAGCTATGATTGTATTACTACACTCCAGGCTGGACAATAATAAAACATGCATGGTCCATAGCAAGTGCTCAGCAAATGTTAGACGTTATTAGCATTATAACATCGCCTGGGTCCTGAGGAAACTTCATGGCTCCCAGCAAGCTTTCCAGGGAAGGAAGATAGACACCAGCCACACCGGCCACGCTTGATCAACCCCAAAACGCTGTCCCGCCTCTGCCCTCTGCTTGTGTGTGTTCTCCTTCTCTTTCTCTGCTGTATTTAAGTCAAGCCCACACACAGGATCACGATGTCACTTTTTATATTATGCTGCAAAAGAGAAACGCCGGCTAAATGACCACTCCCATCTCGGGAGTTCACCAAGGATCAGAATTCTTTTGTGCAATAAGAAGTCGTGCTTTTTACAATTAAATAAATTTTTTTCTTACTCAAAAATAAGGAAAAGGAAAGTTTATTCTAATTGGTTGTTACTTTGGAAACAATGTTACTCTTATTTCTTTGAGCTATGTGGTATTGTTGTTGCTATAAACAGGAGTGAAGGATGGAGGGAGGAAGGGAGATGGGGAGGGAAGGGAAGGAGGGAAAGGGAGGGAAGAGAAGAAGGGAAGAAGGGAAGGGGAGGGAAGGGGAGGAAGGAAATGAAAGGAAAAGAAAGGAAAGGGAAGCAGGGAAGGGAAGAAAAGAAGGGAAAGGAAAGAAGAGAAGGGAAGAAGGGAAGAGAAGGGAAGGGAAGAGAATGAAGGGAAAAGAAGAAGGAAAGGGAAGAGAAGGAAGGGAAGAAAACAGAAAAAGGGAAGGGAAGAAGGAAAAGGGAGGGAAGGGAAGAAGGGATGAGAAGGGAAGGGAAAAAGGGAAAGAGTGGGAAGAAAAGGAAGAGATGGGAAGGGAAGGGGAGAAGAGGGGAGGGGAAGCAAAGGATGAGAGGGGAGGGGAAAGGCAGGTGCGTGCTGATGGGTTTGATGGGCATCCTGGAAACTGAGCATCGCACGTGCTAGCAGGGGAACTTCTTCCGTAGGACGCCCAGATACCTGTGCTCCGTGAGTTCCTGAGAGGCTCAGGGATTGTCTGGACTATGAGGCTGGAGTAGCAGTAGCAGTCCAGATGGCTGACTTTGGGATGGCTTCTGAGCTCACTTTGGGAGAGGTTAAGCACTCCAAATTTTAAAGATGAATATAAGAGGGAATTCCACTTTTCTCCACCACTAACTAGGGTGCACCCAAACTGTGCCTCCCCGAGTGTCTCACTGAGCTATCGTGGGTGTCAACTCGGAGTGACTCGCTTCAGATTAACATGTCCACATTTGCCCAGAGGCTCCCAAGGCTCCACAGAGATTGTTGTGATGTGTCTGGGGTGGGGTCATCTTTGTTTTATGATAACGTTTATGATCATATTGTTTAATGACCATGTTGAGACAATGTCGCTAAAGCTTTGGATTAGTACATGACTGCCAATATGAATCTTTAATATGCATACCAATATATGAAGAAAGAGACATATGGGATGGAATTCAAACCAAGCAAACCCTAGGGTTGTTCACAGCCAGACTCCAGGTCTTGAACCCTCTAACCTAGAAAAGGTTGGAAATGAAAGCTAAAAAGCAATACGTAAAAGAAATATGTCATTCAGGTGATTAATATTTAGTGCCCAAAGCCTTGTGATCCAAAACCTATATGTCTGTGATCTGGATGTCTTCACTTAGAAGTGGTTTTCAGCACCTAATGCTTATAAGTGCTTATTGCAACTTCTTTTCAAGGGTTTGCAATACTGTAAAGAAACTGTCCACAGGGGTTTCACTTAGACAATGCAAAATATGAAAAACTCCACAAGTTGAAACAACCTTTGTCCTAAAGCTGCTGCAAGTCTCTCTAGGGACATGCATGAGCTCTCAGGAATGCGCTGTCCAGATTCGTCAGCACTCTGGTGGCTCGCCTTCATGGAGAGCCAGGTGAGACGGAAGGAAAAGAGTCGAGAGAGAGAGAGAGAGAGAGAGAGAGAGAGAGAGAGAGAGAGAGAGAGAGAGAGAGAAAGGTGATTCCAAAGTCAAGATCCTGGTATGGCGCAATTGTGTGATTCTGAGAAAATTACCTTTCCAGGCTTCAGTTTTTAACCTCTGAGAAGTGGCAAAAGCTTTAAGGTCATTTCTAGCTGTAGCATCAATGCAATTTGAAAGTGATGTCCCAGATCAGCCCACGTCAGCCAGCTTCCACCCTGGTTGGAAGGCCAGCCCTGCTGGCCCTTTGTCCATGTCAACCCTCACCTTCCCTAAACATCGGCAGTCCTAGCTCTTTAGAGAGCTTGTCCCAATCACTGACCATGGCACACGTGCCATCTGTCCTTCTTATGGTTAGGCGCTGGAATAGGACCTTAATAAATGTTAGGGGATTAAAATCATACAGAATATGCTTTATAAATGGAAAATTTTTCTTTAAAATGTAAGATGACATAAGGACATTTTCAGATAAACAAAAGAGGAGAGAATTAGTTACCAAAAGGCCTGTACTACAAAAAAAAAAAAAAAAAACAAAAAAACCCATACCAATGAATGTTCTTTAGGTTGAAAGAAAATAACACAAGATGAAAATTAATATACACAGGAAGAAAAAAAGGACTGTAAATTATCAATATGTGAGCAAATATAAAAGACTATGTTTTTCTTTTATAAATATCCTTAAAAATAACTGCTTAACGTAAAAAGAATAGCACTATCATAAGAGTGATGACTTATGAAGAATTAAAAGATATAAAAACAATGGATTAAATGAAAGGGGTGGAATGTTTAAGTGGAATTAAGCTGTTGTGAAGGTTTTTGAAACTTAGGAAATGGGAGAAGTCAGATTTCAAGAGTAAAATGTAAAGTGACTGAATATTAATTCTAACTAGACTGTAATAAGGCTGTATATTGTAACTCTCAGAGAAACTACTGAACAAAAAAAAATACAAGGAGGTTTAACTAAAAGGTCAGTAGAGAGGAAACGACCTCAACATAATAAAGGCTACATTTGAAAAGTCCACAGCTGACTTCATGCCCAATGGTGAAAAGTTGAAAGCGTTTCCTCTAAGAGCAGTAATAAGATGAGGATGCTCCATCTAAACACATCTATTCAACGTACTGCAAGTCCCAGCCAAACAACGAGGCAAGAGAATTATAAAGTAAAAAATAAAATCATCTCTGTTTGCCAGTGACATGATCTTACATGTAGAAACTCCTAAAGATTACATACACATATACAAAATCATCCAAAAATCAGTTGTGTTTCTACACCGTAACAATAAACAGTCCAAAAATAAAATTAAGAAAACAGTCTCATTTACAATGGCATCAAAAGGAATAAAATACTTGAAAACGGGCCAGGCGCAGTGACTCATGCCTGTAATCCTAGCAGTATGGGAGGCCAAGGTGGCCAGATCACTTGAGGTCAGGAGTTCAAGACCAGCCTGGCCAACATCGTGAAACCTGTCTCTACTAAAAATATAAAAATTAGCTGGGCATGATGCCAGGCACCTGTAATTCCAGATACTCAGGAGGCTGAAGCAGGAGAATCACTTGAACTTGGGGGGGCAGAGGTTGCAGTGGGGCCACCATGTGAACTGTTTATTCAAGGTACCAGGCCAGTTTTTTCCCCCAAGGGATTTACTGGCTGCAGAAAGTCAAGCCTAGTCTTTAAAGATGGCTGCTTATCCGAAAACATGATGTTCCAGTCATCGCTTTGATAGTATAACCAGTGTTTCCAATTGTGTACTGTTACAAGAAGAACAGATTCTTACTGAACTTATTCAAATAATTATATTGCCATAAAAAATAAGAATACTCAACGATAGTTTCCAAATTCTAGAGGGATCAGGTCCATAGAAAAAAATGTAAATATTTTAATTTTATTTACAAAAGTAAAATTTACCAGATTGTTGTAAATTATATAT